GAACGTGCCAGGCCAGGAGAAGTGCCAGGTTCAAAGGCCCCGTAGAAGAAATGTGACTGGCATGTTTGAGGATCAGCACAAAGGAGAGGGCAGCGGGACTGAAACAGGGTGAGGAGGGCAGTAGGAGATGAGGTTACAACGATGGCAGGGTCAGACTGAGGGAGGGCTTGCAAGCCCCTGTACATCCTTGGCTTTTATGTGAAATGAGTGGAAAGCGGAAGAGGGGATGAACAAGGAAGTGACATGATTTGATGTTGGTCTTTTTGTTGTTTTAGAGAGATTTTTGTTATAGGGTGCATGCACTCACTGGAGAGACAGACAGAAAGCAAGAAATCACCCTCCAACCCCAGGGGGATGGCCATGCCACAATTCCTTCTCTTCCATTCTCTTCTCAGGATTTTGGACAGACACACACATGCACCCAGTGTGAGTCTTAAGTTGCCAGATCTGGGACTTGAACCGCAGTTGGCCATGTGAAAGTCTAGCTGCCTTAACCACCATGCCACCTGCAGGCCCCTTGGTTTTGGTCTTTAAATAATCACACCAACTGCTGTAGTGAGAACAAGACATAGGAAGGCAAGGCAGGGAGGGACCACTCTTCCCACCTTCCTCCTCCCCACAGGACAGCCGTGACTCCCACCTGATGCCCTCCCCCGCCCCTGTGGCCGAGCCCGTGCCTGGTTGTGTGGCACCATCTTCCATCACCCATCCATCACCCTTCGGACGGGCTCAGCGTGTACCCTCCCCTGGCCTCCAGCCCCTGGTTTGTATCAAGAACTCTGGGGGCTGGGCAAGGCCAGAACAGTCTAGCTGGAGACCCCGCTAGCTCTAGGCTTTGTCCCCGCTCAGCTACACACATCTCTCTCCAGAACTCATATTCTGTGCTGCGACGTCTCGCCAATCGAACCAAAACCCAGTTCACACCCATCCCGTCGGCCCCAAGAGTCCAAGAGATCAGCAGGTAGGAGAGGCAGGGGAGGTTGCTGGTCTAGGCCAAGGCTGGAGAGGAAGGAGATGGATGGGAACAGGGAGATAGGGTCCCACCTGTAGGTGCTTGGCCTTGCTGATTGCTCACTTCTGTCCCAGGCCCGACGGTTGAGTGGCTTCTCTCCTCAGTCCTGCCCTGAAGAGCCTGCCCTGCCTTGGGTAAGTATCAGAAGTCCTCCTAGGTGACAGCCCTTGTTCTGTCCTGTTGGCTTGGTGGCCTAGCATTTGGAGGCCGATGTGCCCTCTGGGAAAGCTACCTAACTCTCCGGCTCTCCCAGCTTCTCTACCCTCCTGTCTGCTCCCAAGGGCGGGACTCAGACCTCTCTTCCCTGGCCCTAGCTGGCTCCTCACATGCCCCCTTTCCTTGGCAGGAGCAGGTTGCGGTACGCTTGTTTGACCAGGAGGGTTGTAGAAGGTTACAGGAGGGGCCTGGGAAGCCACCTGTGGCAAGTGCTTCTGGACCCCACCCCAGCAGGGCACCCAACTTCCAGGATCTGAAGATACAGGTGGGGCTATGGGTAACAGCTTTGATGCCTGCTGGTCGGTGACAGCGCTGGGGCAAGGGGGACAGGGCAGTGTGGGTAGAATACCTGAGCCCACACCTAGCTATGGCACTAGGGTGTTCTCTCCTCCACAGCGAATCAGTATCCTGCAGCAGCTGTTGCGACAGGAGGTGGAGGGGCTGGTAGGGGGCAAGTGCACCCCCCATGATGGAGGCCCTTCCCTGGATATGGCTGAGCTTCGGCCCCTGCTGACTGACATTTCTCAAGCTCTGAGTGCCCCAGAGCAGCATCCTGGCACGTCCCCCCTTCCTGGACTGTCACAGCACCCCGGGCTACCACAGCCCTGCCTTCCCACGACATGTGGGGAACCACAGCCCTGCCCTCCAGTGGAGCTGGGTCCCCCAGAGGCCTGCTGGAGGGGTGAGCCTGAGACACCAGAGCCCACCCCACAGGAAGAGCCTGTCGGGCCAGAGTGCTGCCCCCCAGCAGAGCCTGGACCCCTTGAGGCCAGCCCCCAGAAGCAGGCTGGACCCCCAGAACCCAGCCCCAGGGTGGAGCTAGGGGCATCAGAAACCTGCTCTCTGGAAGCTGGAAGTCCAGAGTCCAGCCCACGGCCCTGCTGCAGTCAGTGGGCACCGGCAACCTCCAGCATGACCATCTCTTCCCAGCACCCACCTTCTACCAGCCCCCCTCTCTGTTCCCTGCAGTCTGTGAGGCCCCTGACAGGACAGGCAGGTAAGGAGTTGGTTGGGAAGGGAGTTGACTTAAGGAGGTCCCCATCTCTTACTGAGAGCTGGGCCCTGCCCTGCCCTGCCCCAGGCCATCTGTGCTATCTCCTCTGTCTTCCATCCTACCCCAGCCTGGCTCTTCCTCTGGACGAAGGGAGGAGTCATGCTTCTCACTGGCTTGGGTCTTGGTGGAAAAAGGCCATACACATGGGAGTAGAGGACTCCAGAGCTCCCTCTGAATGCTCTGTGGCCCTTGGCCCTTAGGCCCTAGCAGTCTGGCCCCTCGAACCCTGGCCCTGAGGCAGCGCCTCAAAGCATGTCTGACAGCCATCCACTGCTTCCATGAGGCCCGTCTGGATGACGAGTGTGCCTTCTACACCAGCCGAGCCCCTGCCTCTGGCCCCCGCAGGGTCTGTACCAACCCTGTGGCCACGTTACTGGAATGGCAGGATGCCCTGGTGAGCCCGTGATCCACAGCCAGGCTGTGTCGGCACAGCAAGCTGTGGGAAGTGGGGTTTGAGGGTGGGGGGCTAGCCTGGGCTCCTTTACAGAGGTCAGTGGGAACAGCTCAGGCTGTGACGAATTCTTCTCTCTCCAGTGTTTTATTCCAGTTGGTTCTGCTGCCCCTCAGGACTCTCCAGCCTGAGGCACCTGCCTCCCCCTGCTGCCTGCTCCGTCCTTGTCTTTTAGCCCTTATTTATTGTTGGCCTGCCCCATGGGGCCAAGGCCTATACTCTGTTGTCCTTTAATAAAGTTTCTGGTGTCCCAATGTCCTGCTAATGAGCTCTACGTGTCCAAATAGGCCAGCCACTGCCTTTGCTCTCAGTTGCCCACACGATGGCAGTGTCCTCCAGCGCAGAGGCCAGCCCAGGGCTCTCCAGATCTCAGCTCCTCTGCTCCCTCCTGGAGAAGCCCTCCGGAGAGGAGGAAGGCCTCCCACTCCTGCCAGCCCACCCCTGGCCAATCTCTGTGAATGTGGTGGGAGGCAGTAATGGGGCCTGCTCCTGAGATCAGTCCCACTTCCAGGAGCCATTGTCTACTCCATCCCTTAGAGTGCCTCCTCCAGAACTCCCCCTGCACTGGGCAGAAGAGCAGAAGCACCACACCCAGACCCTGGGAGTCTTCCCTTGAGGTCTCCCTCTCCCTGCATGTCATGCCCCAAAGTGCTCCTGATGCGGGCACCTTCCCATAGCAGAATGGAAGCCCAGGGCTGCCCGCCTTCCTCTTCTCCTTCAGAGGCAGGACTTGCTGGAGATTAACCTTTGCCTCTGGCAGATAGGCAGGCAGGATAGGGGTCCTTTAAGAGCAGAGGAAAGGAGAAGCCACTTTCTCCTGATTCAGTGCACTGAGTTAAGTAGCCACACACACTCCCTCAACCTCACTTTATTGGAAGAGGCAACAGCAGCTGTAGCCCCAGGGCCTACCCAGGATAGGGAGGGGATGGGAACTGTACAGAAATGAGTTTTAGATGCCAGCAAAGAATTCACTGGTTCTTCCAGTTCACAGGAAGGCTACCTAGGCTGGAGCTGCCTCTGGCAGATAGGCAGGCAGGCTAGGAGTCCTTTAAGAGCAGAGGAAAGGAGAAGCCACTTTCTCCTGATTCAGTGCACTGAGTTAAGTAGCCACACACACTCCCTCAACCTCACTTTATTGGAAGAGGCAACAGCAGCTGTAGCCCCAGGGCCTACCCAGGATAGGGAGGGGATGGGAACTGTACAGAAATGAGTTTTAGATGCCAGCAAAGAATTCACTGGTTCTTCCAGTTCACAGGAAGGCTACCTAGGCTGGAGCCAGTAGCCTGAAGATGGGGATGAGGGGAGATGGGGATGGAAGAGCAAGCAGCCATTGAGGACCAGGGCCTAGCTGGTCCCAACAGTCTCCTCTTCCGTAGATGGGCTCCTTCTGTTTCTGTTCTCCCTACCAAGCTGCTTTCCACTTTCCCGGCCCCTGAGCCTTGCTAATGAAACTGCTCCCCAGCTCCAGGCAAAAGAGAGGGCCACAACCTCGGTCCCACTTCCAGTCCCAGCTTTTACAGGTGCTCTGAGCCGCCCTCCTGCTCCTCTAGCCTGGCCTCTGCTCCCCAGCCTTCTGTACCCTTGATCACCCAGAGTCAGCCCATTTAGGCCGCTAAAGGGCCCGCAGCTTCCCCCCATCCCCCCGCGCTGTGCTCTCAAAGGAGGGGTGGGGCCGACAGGAGGTGGATGAGTACCCGAGCATAGGGGCGGGCAGGGGCGGGGAATGGGGCCCAACTCAGTCCGGGTAGATGATGAAGCCGGAGAAGGTGCTGTACTTGTTAGTGTTGCCGCCGTGCACTTTCCCGCCATCCAGTTTGATAAAGACCTCGTCGCCCACGTCCAGGTGCAGAATGACGCTATTGCTGGCATAGTCGTAGTTCTGGTCTGCGTCCTGAGCAATGGCGCTGGCCCGGACCTAGCGAGACCGAAGAGGAAAACGACCCACTCACGCCCTGTGCAGAGCTGTGGGGACAGGAGTCAGGGGGAGTTGGCTCTTCCAGCCCCCCCCCCCCCCTAAGGCAGCAGGTTTCAGGGACCAGAGAGGACAAGGCTCTACCATTCAATGGCTGTGTGATTGGGGCAAATCGAGCTACAAAGTGCGTGTGGGCAGGAGGGGATAAAAGAACCTCCCTCATAAGATGATTAGGATTGTTACTACAGGTGAAGCACGATCAGAACAGTAGTTTGCATACAAAAAAAAAAAAAAAACCTGTAGAGAGTTTGCTATTATTCTCGTTTAAAAAATAAAATTATTCTGAATGATCATTTATAACATTTCATACCTGCTTGGGTCTCCTGTTAGTCCTGAACTTGGGATCGCTTTCCCAGGCGATGGGCATAGGCGTGTCTGTGCCACAGGGTAGGGACTATGGGAAGGTGCACTGTCGTGCTCTCCCTCTGGGGCGCCCATTTCCCAAGGAGTGCCTGCTGGCATCCCGACGTGGGGGGTCGCCTTCCACTGAAACGGGGACCTTCCGCTTTCCTTCTGGCCTCCTGGCGGTTGCCTGGGCCACCAGCCCCCTCCTCAGCCCCCCTTTTCGAGTCCCACAGGGGCTGGTTATTAACTCATTAATTATTCATCATTATTCTAATCACTATTTACCGTCCCCAGGGCCGCAGCGCCCGCACCGCAGAATACAGAGTGGGAGCCGCGCAGCCCCGCCCCCTCGGAAACCCACACTCTCTAAATACACATTTGCCCCCTCTGGTTCCTCCCAGGAGCCCCACACAGACCAAGCACACCACTCCGGTGCCACATGCTGAAAGACACACTATCTCACCTTCAAAGTCTGAATCCACAGACACCTCTTGTACACACCAGCCTCACTCCCCCACACACCCGCTGTCTCACCCCCACACAGACACACACGCACTCTCACTCCCTTTCTCCTGGTTCCTGGCGCTGTCCTGTTGAGAGGAGACCCCTAAAGCAAGTCTGAGAGCTGGAGGGTGCTGCTGGAGTAGCAGGGCCCAGGGCTCCCACAGAGGCCCTAGGAGCAGGCCTGATACCTCAGAGTCAGCACCACCCCTCACACATGGCCATTGCCATTGTGTTCAGAGGGCACCGCTGAGCCCTGACCTCCCATGTGGTCTGCACCGCCCAGACACCTCCCCACAGCCCCACCCCTTCAGCCTCTCCTTTACACTTGGCTTCTCAGTTCTCCAAGTCCTTGGATCTATTCCTCCAAACTAAGGCAGCAGTGGCTCTGACTCTGGCTCTGTCCACATAACTTGCAGGCTGAGGTTGCTAAAGAGGATGTGGAACCTGGGGGGGTGGGGCAGGCCACTGTCCAAGGCTTCCATTCTAACCACTCCTTGCCTCCTTCCCACTCCAGATACCTTTCTTCCAGCCACCTGGCTGGTCCCAGAGCCACCAGGCTGTTTGCCATCTCTTGCCTGAGGACAGTAATAGCTGAGAGCAAGGCCCTTCCAGGCCTGGCCCCAGGCTTTGGGATGAGCAATAGAATAACTATCTTGCAAGCAAGCAAGCATTTTTTTTCTTTTTACCTTTCTTCTGAAAAATCCAAGCCGAATGCCCACACACAGGAGTTGCTGCTGTCGACTGCCTACTGTCTAAGACATGGATTCCATCCTAATTCAAGGGCCAAACTTGGGTAGTTCACTGGGCACCCAAAGGCCACCAGGACTGCCTCAGGGAACAGAGGGTAGTCCCGGACAGAATGCCAAAGGAAGCTAAGTGGCCGTGCAAGACACTAAAGACGTTTGGTGCAGCTGAGAATAGTTGAGTGTGAGCTTGCAGCCGCAGACTTGTTACACGTTGAGTTCTGAGTTCTACTTCTAACACCATCCTAAGTCTCCGTGAGCCCTGGGCAGGTGGTTTCCTTCTCAGACCCGCGATTCCTCTTTGGCTAATGAAACTATAAGTTCTTGGAAACCTGGTGTTCCTGTTTTAGTGATGCTGCTTGGGGGAAGGATTTTGGGTTGTGGGATGAGTGCGTGGAGGTTCAGAAAACTACCTGTGGAATCTAGGACCGGAGGGGGGAGCATCTCACCTGCCCGTTCTTCATCAGGTCGGCCCACATGCTGGTGCCATCGCCTCCGCGCATGAGCACATGGTAAGCGAAGAAGTAGACACCGGGCATCGGGCAGGTGAACTTGCCGCTGGCTGCCTCATAAGCGTTGCCCACGTTGGTCACCACGTCGTCGAAGCGCAGCACCTCATAACCCTCATGAGGCCGCCGCAGGCCCGCGTAGAAGGCTATACGAGGCACGTAGCCGGCAGGCGGCGCCACTCCGCCGGGGCCCGGGCCAGGAGGGCCTGGGGGACCTGGCCTGCCCGGCTCTCCCGGGGGCCCTCTGGGGCCCGGTGGTCCCGGGGGCCCCCGCAGGCCTGCTTTCCCGCGCCGGCCCACCTCTCCCTTGGGTCCTGGCGGGAAGGGGGGTACGGAAGCAGGTGCGCCGTCGGGACCTGGGCCACGGGGTCCGTGCGGGTCGCACACCATGCGGCACCGACCCA